GATTTTTGGGACTTTCGGGATTCTCGGAATTAATAGCGGGATTTTCGGGAGAATTTCGAGATTATCGGGATTTTTGGGACTCCTCGACTATTTTTGGACTTTTAGGACTAATTTCAAGTTTTTGGAACTTTCGGGACTATTTCGGGATTCTCGGAGCTTATTTCGGGACTGTTGGGACTTTCGATGCTATTTAGGTATCTTTGGGACTCTCGGGACTATTATCGGGAGTAATTTAGGTATTTTTGGGACTTTCGAGACTATTTCCAGATTTTTGGCACTTATTTTGGATGTTTGGAACTTTTGGGAGTATATCGATTTTTTTGGGAATTCTTTTGGATTTTTTAGACTTTCGGGACCATTTCGAGGTTTTCAGGAGCATTTCGGGACTTTTGAACTAATTTCGGATTTTTGGGACTTTCGGGACTATTTCTCTATTTTTGGGGAATATTTAGGAATTTTGGGACTTGCAGAACTATTTAGGGATTTTTGGGACTTATTTCGGATTTTTACAACTTTCGGGACTGTTGGGAATTTCGATGCTATTTAGGGATTTTTGGGACTCTCGGGACAATTTCGAGATTTTTGGGAATTTCGCGAGTATTTCGGAATTTTTGGAACTCTTGGGACTATTTCGGGATTCTCGGAACTGATTTCAGGACTTTCGGGATTATTTAGGAATTTTTGGGACAAATTTCTGATTTTTGGGACTGCCGAGACTACTTGGAGCTTTCGGGAATTCCGGGGTTCCTGGGACTAGTTTCAGGAATTTTGGGACTTTCTGAAATAGTTTCGAAAGTCTTAAAGTTCCTAAATTAGTCCCACATTCCCAAATGGTCCCGAAAGTGTCAAAAATCAAGAAATAGTCCCGAAAGTCCCAAAAATCCCTAAACGGCCTCAAATGTCCCAAAACACTAAAATTAGGCCCAAAAACAAGGATAGTCCCGGGAGTCCCAAAAATCCTGAGGTAGTCTCGAAAATCCCGAAATTAGTCCCGAGAATCCCGAAATTCCCAAAATTAGATTCGAGACTCTCAAAATAGTCCCGAAAGTCCCGAAATTAGTCATTATAAGAGCGAAATAGTCCCGAAAGTTCCAAAAATTCAGAAATACTTCCGAAACCCCCAAAAATCCCGAAATTACTCCCGACAAACCCGAAGTAGACCTGAAAGTCCCAAAAATACCCAAATTACTCCCGAAATAGCCCCGAGGATCCCAAAAATCCTTAAATGGCCCCGAAATAGTCCTGAAAGTTCCAAAAATCCGAAATAAGTCCCAAAATTCCTAAATTATTCCCAAAAATGGCGGAATTGTCCTAAAAGTTCTAAAAATCCGAAATTAGTCCAAAAACCCCGAAAAACTCCTAAAAACCCCGAAATGGTCCCGAAAGTCTCAAAATTCCAAAAGAAGTCCCAAAAAAATCGATATACTCCCGAAAGCCCCGAAATTAGTTCCAAAAATCGCAAAATCAGTTCCGCGAATTACGAAATAGCGGGACTAAAATACCAAAAATCTTGAAATAGTTCCGAAAGTCCCAAAGTTCCTAAGTTTGTCCCAAAAATTTCAAAATACTCCCGAAAGACCCAAAAATTCCGAAATTCCTCCCGACAATCCCGAAATAGACCCGAATGTTCCAAAAATCCGAAATAAGTCCCAAAATTCTGTAAATAGTCCCGAAAGTCCCAAAAATACCTAAATTTCTCCCGAAAGTCCCAAAAATCCGAAATTAGTCCCAAAAATTTGGAAATAGTCTCGAAAGTCCGAAAATCCCGAAATTACTCCCGATAATCTCGAAATAGACCCGAAAGTTCCAAAAATCCTAAATTAGTCCCAAAATTCTGGAAATAGTCCCGAATGTCCCAAAAATACCTAAATTACTCCCGCTAATCCCGAACTAGTCCGAAAGTTCCAAAAATCCGAAATAAGTCCCAAAATTCTGTAAACAGTCCAGAAAGTCCCAAAAATACCTAAATTATTCCCGATAGTTCCGAAAGTCCCAAAAATCCGAAACTAGTCCCAAAAATCCCGAAATACTCCTGAAAATCCCAAAAGTCCCGAAATCAGTTCCGAGAATCCCGAAATGGGCCCGAAAGTCCCAATAATTCCGAAATACACCCAAAAGTCCCAAAAATACCGAAATTACTCCCGACTATCTCGAAATAGACCCGAAAGCTCCAAAAATCTGGAAATGGTCTCGAAAGTCCCAAAAGTCAAAAAAGTACCCTTCAATCCCGAGATAGTTCCGAGAGTCCCAAAAATCCCTAAATAGCCCCGAAAGTCCCAAAAATCCGAAAACAGGTCCAAAAAATCCCGAATTAGTTCTCAAAATCCCAAAATTACTAAATTAGTCCCAAGAATGAAGAAATAGTCCCGAAATTCCCAAAAATCCGAAATTAGTTCCAAAAATTCCGAAATACTCCTGAAAACCCTGAAATGGTGCCGAAAGTCTCAAAAATCCAAAAAAAGACCAAAAAAACACGATATACTCCCGAAAGCCCCAAAAATCCCAAAATTAGTCCCAAATATACCGAAATCAGTTCCGAGAATTACGAAACAGTCCCGAAAGTCCCAAAAATCCTGAAATAGTTCCGAAAGTCCCATAGTTCCTAAATTAGTCCCAAAAATCCCGAAATGATCTCGAAAGTCCCAAAAATCCAAAAACAAGTCCCAAAAATCCCGAAATACTCCCGAAAATCTGAAGTTATTCCGGAGAATCCCGAAATAGTCCAAAAGTCCCAAAAATCAGGAGACTGCCCGAAAGTCCCGAACCGACAATCTCGAAATAGACCCGAAAGTCCCAAAAATCCTAAATAAGTCCCGCGGTCTTCTGTCGATTTGTTAGCTCAGTTTTCAGAGATTTGATACAAAATGGTACTATTGTCGTGTACATGGACGATATTATCGTGCCTGCAAAAGATGAGGAAACTAGTGTTCAGAAACTTAAGATTGTCTTGAAGCGTGCGTCAGAATATGGTTTGAGAATACGGTGGGACAAATGCCAGTTTTTAAAGAGGAAGGTATCGTTTCTAGGGTATTTGGTAGAGGACGGAACTATACGTCCGTCAGAGGAAAAAATACGAGCTGTAGCAAATTTTCCAGTGCCAAATAATGTGAAGGCGGTTCAGCGTTTCTTGGGACTAACGTCATATTTCCGACGCTTCGTTGCGGATTACGCAGCGAAAGCTAGGCCTCTTACAGACTTGTTGCGGAAGAATATTAAGTTTAAGATGGGTGACGAGCAACTTTTAGCAATTGAGCAACTAAAGTCAGCTTTGATAAGTGCACCCGTACTTAGACTGTATGATCCGCGTGCAGAGACGGAAGTACATACTGATGCGAGCATGTACGGGTACGGCGGGGTATTGATGCAAAAAGATTCAGATGATCAACAGTATCACCCAGTGCAATATATGAGTCGCCGAACTACCCCGCAAGAAGAAAAGTACCACTCGTATGAGCTCGAGGTGCTGGCCATTATAGAGGCACTGAAGAAGTGGCGTATTTATTTATTGGGATTACATTTTAAGATTGTTACAGATTGTAACGCATTCACTCAGACAATGAAAAAAAGTAAAGTTCCGCTAAGGGTCTCGAGGTGGGCAATTTTTCTTCAAGATTTCGAGTACACTATCGAACACCGATCCGGAACAAAAATGAGGCATGTCGACGCACTGAGTCGAATGTCGTGTTTGATAATAGAAGACTCTATAAAACACCAGTTGAAACAGGCTCAGATGAGCGATGAGTGGATAAAAGCGATCCGTAAAGTGCTAGAAAAAGAAGAGTATTTAGATTTTTTCGTAAAATATGACCTATTATACAAAGACCCAGTATTGGAGCTATTGATAGTACCGGCTGCAATGGAGGAAGAAATTATTAGAATAGTACACAGAAAGGGACATTATGGTACAAAGAAAACTCAGGATAGTCTGGAGAAAGAATTTTATATTCCTCAGTTGCGGTCTAAGGTAGAAAAAGTTGTTAGAAATTGCGTCCAGTGCATTATCACTGAAGGCAAAACAGGAAAAAAGGAAGGGTTTCTTACACCAATTGATAAGGAAAACGCACCGCTTTCAACTTTTCATATCGACCACGTAGGACCTATGGAACTGACAGCCAAGAGATATAAGCATATTCTGGTAATTGTTGATGGTTTTTCGAAGTTTGTGTGGTTGTACCCAGTAAGGTCTACCGACAGCGCATCAGTTATTGACTGCTTAGAAAAGCTATCAACAGTGTTCGGAAATCCGAGAAGAATAATTTCCGACAGGGGAACAGCATTCACAGCAGAAGCGTTTGCAGAGTATTGTAAGTCAAATGATATTCAGCATTTAGTTATAGCAACGGGCGTGCCGAGGGGTAGTGGACAAGTGGAACGTATCCACAAGATTGTTGTTCCTATGCNGCGCGATTCATTCGGGGCGAATGAACCATCAGGACGGCCGAATGTGGGATCAGTACCTAAAATAGCAACCCGGTCGGGTAAGACGTACTAAACCATGCAACTCTGACGGATACAACGAAGTAACCCTGACAGGACTGAAAGCAGTTTTTTAGTTTTGAAAGAGAGCCGCTTGAGTCAACACGCGTCGCGCAACTTGAATTTGCGAACGAAAAAGCTAAAAGTACTTGTATGTAAAGCTAAGCTACTTAAAGACTAAGATGTGAAATTAAACTAATATAAATAATAAAACTACATTTTAAACTACCTATTCAAATGTGAACCTGAACTATTTGTTCCATTAAACTACTTAAAACTAAATATTGTGTTGCAATTATTGGTGTTTGGATAGCTTGAACCCACATACATAAAAAAAATATATATTCCGACGAACTGATAACCTCCCCCTTTTTTGGAAGTCGGTTAAAAAGGAAATTGCAAGTGGGCAACGTATGTAAGTTCTTCAAATTTACCTTGAGCGTAGATTGTTAAGAACAAGAACTTGATGCGTTTCTGCAACACCAAGTTCCCACGGAAGACCAGCGTGTTTAATGCCAGTCCATGAACTTGCCCCAGTCCCGCCGTCATGACCAGATATAACTATATGTTCCGCTTTCCCCTAGGAAGAATACGAAAATATGTATAAAATAAAGATATCAGCTTTGTTTCTTTACTTTTCTTGCAGATAATTATCAGGAAGAAGAAGAGTACGAAAATTGAGAGAATTACGCTCACAGAGAGCAAAATAAAGAAATAGTTAATAAACGCAAACTAGAAGAAACTAGTAAACAGCTGATCGGTGTACTTGACTTGACGCGTTTTTTAATTGCTTTTTATTTTTCAAAAGTATTCACAGATACTTACATTTTTCAATACTTCATAAATATTTAATGATTTCCTCATTCGTATTTAAAAAATACCAAAATTATTTATGCAGAAAGAAACAAATAAAAGTAACTGTGCTTAACCCCATTTGTTTAAGTTTCAACAGCTGTTTGTTCATTTTTACAGCAGGTGAGGCAAAAAAAGAAGAGCGCAAGGACGACAGAGAGAGCCGCCAGTTTCTGCTAGTTTTTAGGGTTAAGAAACGCTTTCCAGCAAAATTAGTGATAATTTGTGATAATTATCTGCTAAGAAACGAAGCTATTATTTCAAAATAAAAACTACCTTTGCTACTCCAGAGGCAACAACTCCGACTCCAACTTCAGAAACCAGCTTCACACTAATCCTGGCTTTGGGATTAGAGCATTTCAAGTCATATATAAGCTCCGCTAAGTCTTCAATCGAATAAATATCGTGATGAGGTGGAGGTGAAATAAGGCCAACACCTGGCACAGAGTGTCGTGTTTTTGCTATTTCTTTGGTGACTTTATAACCGGGAAGTTCCCCACCTTCTCCAGGCTTAGCACCTTGAGCCATCTTGATTTGGAGATCATCCGCATTGGCAAGATATGCAGCAGTTACCCCAAAGCGACCTGATGCAATTTGTTTGATGGCTGACCTCCTGCTGTTGGTTGAATCTTTCTCTGCCGAAAATTATAAAAATTCATAAATATGAAATTAATTAATTAACATGTATAGTAGGGTGCCCATCGAAAATGCTTTTTTTCGGAAATTTCAAGACCCTACCTACTAATTTTATTAGTTTTTATGGGAAATATTATTGCCTATTTTATAGATTTTTTAAAGGTCATTTAAAGGTCGATTTCAAAGAGTAAATATGATCTGATAAAAGGATATATAGGCCTTTAAAAGGGTATATAATAATCTATTGTCGGACTTGGCTTATTGGTATTTTTTATCGGGTAAAATAAAAAAAAACCATATTTCTCTTAATTTTTTAAAGTTTGACCATCGATAATTTCCACAATTTTAAAATATGTAGTACTATATAAAATTAAATCTATTTTTAAATAAACTCATAGCTCATTTATTACAATCGCATAAAAATTGTCGAAGTAAGGCGACTTTTCTTAAATAAGACCTTGAATTTATATTCTTTATGTACCGGACTTTTAGATTTTTTGAGCAGTGTGGCTAAGGAATTCATCCATATTTGTTCAAAATTTATATATACACTCGCTCTTTAGCAAAGAAGTGATTTTTCAAGAAATTTTAGGAAAATGGGCCAGCCTTCGACCGGCCAGTCTACTATTCCATATGAACACATATTACGTCACAATATTTTTATTTATTTATTGTCTTCAATTTCCAATTTCGAGAAGTGGAGATTATCAAACTTTAATTTTGTTATTATCAGATTCGATAACGATTTTTTTGGACAATTTTGTACGTGTACAATTTTGTACAGTGTGATTTAAGTACAATTATAACGGAATTCCTCGGAAACGCGAAAAAACATCTTCCATACAACGCCCTAAAAAGTTTTCGGGATAAGCTGTTGTGAGTGATCGCGAATGGACCACCCGCATCGTTTATCTCAGAGATGGGCAAAGTGGCTCCCAGCAGCCTTTTGCACTTAGGAGCCGGCTTGGCTCATTAGGTGCTAAATGAGGGTGTTGCTTCCTTTTTTGATTTATAGAAATTACTACTAAAATACAGGGTGAAATATTGTCCTTTGCCTTCCTATAAAAAGTTAAACAGGCACCATTGCCGATATTTTTATCGATTGTTTCGTGGAAATTGACTTTCTTACTGCGCAAATTCATGTAAGTACAGTATATTTTGCTTAGCTGCACATCCTTCTTTGCACGAAAAACTTGTGCACGTAACCGAAAAAGGCACTTAAGCGAATTTTCTTTACTACTTCAATGAGGAAGGTATCCGAATCCCTATGAAACCAAATATTGGCGGAGCACTTACCATGTAGAAATTACTGCAAGCGAAATTTTTACCGAATGTTATCTAGTTATCTATATAACTACATAAATTGATAGCCATTTTCGTTGTTCTGCGAGATGAGCAAAATAAATAAAAGGTTATAAAATTAGGTAATTGTAGGGCCAGTGCAGGTAAACGTAATACTTTCATTGATAATTGATAATAGTCGCACAATTTTTAAGGCAGGTATCGCCAATGTGCAGGTATGTTGAGTGCATCTATCGGAGCAGTTTCCTTATAAATGTTAAAAATAATGCTTTTGATGCGCATTTTAGGGTAGGTATCTTAAATGTGCACTTAAGCATAGAAACAGCAAAGCAAAATATACAGTATGCCAAAAAAAATAATAATAATGGAAATATTTTGAATTAAAACAATAATTTACATATTTCTTTCACAGTATCGAAGTTATTCAAACACTAGCGTTTTACAGCAAGTGCAGCTGTTGCAAGTCAGTTTTGCGTGCTAGGATCTCTGTGTGTCCGTCCACGTTTGGCTGGTGCAGTCCACTCATATCTACAGCTGCAGCGATTTATTTAGTCAATTGCAGCTGTTGCATACTTCCAAGTAACTATACCACCCCATAAAAGTGAAAGTGCAAATAATAATAAACATTTTTTCTTGTGCAGGTCAGGATCCTCGCTCCTGGTGCAGGTATTTTCAAGTATAAAACATACTAAAAATTTACATAAAAAAAAAATATAGAGCTAAATTACAATAGTTGCGTTCCAGATGATTCACGATTTGCAGGTTTTACAGGATTTGCAGGAACAGCTGTTTTCTCCATTAATAAATCTTATGGAAAGTGGTCACCTGGAAGGGCTTCCTGTAAAAACCTGCAAATCCTGAAGCATCTGGAACGCAACTAATATTGAAGATATAACTTTTAAATGTAGCCAATATAATAGGGGTCTTCATCAAAAGTGATAAACTTGATAAAATCATAAATTTATCATTTTGATAAATGAACTGTCAAAACTTTGTATGGACATCTATTTAACCAAAGTTTATCACTTTATCAAACGATTTTGGTTGATAAACGTATAAATTTCAGCGAAATTCAACCCTGACAGACTGCCAGGTGGTCGATTTTGATACGAACACATAAAAAGCAAATTGGCAAAATGGACGAGGTAAGAATGAAACGTAACTAGTCAGATAAGAAATGAACAATTTTGTACAATTATTAACCAAGGTGCGTTCATGAAAGAATGCGGATAAACTGATAAATTTAAGCAATTTATCCCTAAAGATTAACAAGACTGATTGGAGAAAATAGTAGAAAACATTACCAAAAATTTATATTTTTAAAAAACCAAAAGTAATTGAATTTAAGATATTGAACATGTAATTTTTAAATGCAACAAATATAATTCTTAAAGAATTAATTTATATGCATTATATCAATTGCATCTTTATTACTTGTATATTTCTTCATATAGTTCCTCTGAATAAATGATTTGTTTGAATTTTATTTAATATATACTGGAACTTTAATAAAAGCATGGTTTATTTTGAATATTTGTCGATAAGATTTTTCTTTGGTCAGATTTTTATGTGAATAAAATTTTCTCATTCTCCATTTATTTAATTTTTAATATGTATATAGCATGTTCAATATACTATAACAAAGTTAATTCATTGTCTGCTTTATATATTTAATTCAATTTGTATATAAAAAACGCGTTTCAGCACTACCACACTACTATTCCTACTACCTTTTCACAATAGGGGATAAAATTGTTGCCATCTTCTCTTTCCTTCTCAAATGCAACTTTACAAGGCAGTCGATTGACACAAATGTCAATATTTATCCAACCTTGTATTATTGAATCATGGTTTACACGTTCAAAATACTACTTTCACTTTGCTCACACGTATAAGATTTCTTTGTTTTTTTTTTGTTTTCTAATTTTATTAAGCAGACAATTTTTTGCGAACAAAAACTCACTTCCCAAAGCTATGACCGATTAGCTGTTGAAATAGAACCAGAAATTACCTATCGTCTTGAAAGAAAAATTGATTATAGGCAATTTGCAGAGTGTGAGTATATTGGTAAAAAAGTGTGAGTGTAAATTGAAACGAATTTGGGATTTTTTTATTGGAATGCATAAAATGTCTGAGTTTTTTTCACACACAAGGAAAAGATGTTTGATATCAATAGAATTATCTCAAAGATATTTAAATTTTTTACAAAAGTTTTTTTACAATACGTCAGTTCTTTCATTTAAAGACCCTGTTAACAATAATATTTGTAGTTTTAATTTTTACTGTTAATTTGTGTAGTTAAAAACCCCGTAAATTCAAGAAATCTAGTTATAATGATGAACAAAATTTTTGTAGTTTGGAGACTGATTTGGTAGGCGTTTTTGGTACTTAAAAATATTTTTAGTGGCAACACTGCACTGAGCATGAAAATGAATTAGGTAAACTAACGCTTCTGATTATTTGTGGTACTGTTCACCTCGGCTCATGTACAGGGGTGCCAACTATACTTAGCTATGAAGTGCCATATTGAGGATGAAAAAGTGCTAAAATGTGCAAAATAGAAAAATAAAAGGTGGCATTTTTTTTTTAAATTCTTCGCATTTACCATTAAAATTAGAAACACATATCTAAATCAAAAGTCCTACGCCAAAGTAAGATAAACCAGTTGTATACACTATAGAAATTAGAAAATTTTAGTTGAGAAAAGGAAGTACACGCAAAGGATTTCGCAAAAATTTATTGAAATATTACTACTTTTCAAAACGGCCATTTTGGCACTTGCCAATATAGTCCAGTCAAATAAGGATGCAACCTCGGAATGAAAGACAAAAGCTAAAAAATTTGTTTTGGTGGTTTAAAACTTACATCAAAAGTCTCATATGATCACGTGTTGGCGTCTTAAGATATTTAAGGTCAAAGGTCACGAAAATCGGTTTTTTGCAAATATCTCGTTTCCTTTGCGCTGAACGACATTTAAGGTGATTAGGAAAATTGTAGAACGAAAAATTCTCTTCAACTTTTGTTTCAAGTAATTATATGTACATTCAACCCTTCTTGAGATAGAGCGCAAAGAGTGGTGGACCGCCGACCTGTATATTAGCGTGGGCCGAAAATCGGCTTTTTTAAATTGACTGGTAATAGCAAAAATATGGTTCACTAAGCTCTAAAAACAATCTGTGTGAATTATGACAATGTTTGGTCAATATCTTAGGCTCGCCCAAGTCCATCAAAGTTCAATGTGCTCAAAAAATAAAAATTAATGAATACATTAGTTAAAGCTATTTTTTCCACTAAAATTGCAAGTATCTTCGAAAGTATAGTCCTACATAATTTGGTATATGGACCTTTTTTTGTAGAGAATCGAAGTAAGCCAAGCAAATTTTTTTTTTAGTACTTGAACTTTGATCGACCTGGGCGAGCCTAAGATATTGACCAAATATTGTCATCTTTCACACAGATTGTTTTTAGAGTTTAACAGTAGAAAGCATAATCAAAAAATACCACGTAAACACATAACCGGGGTACTTACTAGTTTGTAATGTTTTAGAGGCACAATAGCAATTGTTATGGGTTTAAATCAATACTGTTTGAGCGCTAGTCAATTAAGAATGTTAATATATTCACCGTGAAAAATGGAGAATGTAAATAAACAGAACACATTGGCTTCAAAATACATACAACGACAGTCTATCTTCCA